AGAGAGAAGAGAGAGAGAGAGAGAGAGAGACAGACAGACACAGAAAGAGACAGAGACAGAGAGATTAGGGGAGTAAGAGATAGAGAGAGCGAGCGAGAGAGAGAGAGAGAAAGAGAGCGAGAAGAGAGGCGAAGAGAGAGAGAGAGAGAGAGAGAGAGAGAGAGAGAGAGAGAGAGAGAGAGAGAGAGAGCTGGTAGATTGGGAAATATTTGTTATGGACAGGCGGCGCCACAGCACGCATTGCGCATATAGTCACGGTTGTTATTCCTATTTCCAGGACGACGCGAGTGTCTGGGAGGGACACTCGCAAGACAGGAGTTGTTTCTTTTCATCTCGGCTCTCTTGCACCGCTTCACGTTGAGCCTACCATTGGGAGAAGCCACGCCTTCTCTTGAGGGAGACATCGGCGTAACGAGAGTCCCACCATCCTACAGAGTCTGCATGACCCCTCGCTGACCTCAATGGCCACTTACATCACGAGGTGGATGCGACAGGATTCTATCTATTTCATCACATCAGGTGTTAAATAATGACAAATTTGCCAATATTAACCCCTGATCACATGCGATCAAGTATATCGCTATTAAACTTTACTATCTCGCCAAACCATGATCCCCTGTAGATTGCCTACGTGGACGTATAATGAGTGTACGGTGACGTATAAAGTACATAAGCCACAGGTATTTTATGTACGCTATTTTCCTTTTATTTTTTACGACACATAATTATATATACGTAGAATTTACCTGAAAATTTCGCGTTTTGGTTTTGCCAATTTACATAGTATGAATATCACTGCTGGATGTGGATGGCTGTTTTGTGTCTGGTCGCAAACATCCTGACTCCAATTATCGATAATACGGAGGCTTGGTAAGGACCATAAGCCAGCTATTGCTGATATGTGACAGCAGAGTGGGCGATTTGTAGTTTTTAATATGCTTTGCACAGTTTCGGTGGCAGCAACTATTTCTGAACATCGATTATTGACTACAAGGCCAGCTACTAATTACAATACTCCTAGCCAACGACGATTCCTTTGATACAATGTTTGGGCGCTTATTTACATGCTGACTCAAGTAATTATTCGTCAAATGTTTCACGATGCATTTGATACAAATGACATCAGGGGTAACATAATATATGACACTTTATGTTACTCTTGATGGCACGAATAATATGCGTTTGATACATAAATCACTTTTTCTGCACCACGTTTGCTTTCATTGTCTCGTTTTAATTATACACCTGAATTCGCATACAATAGTCATTCTCTACGTTTCTACGAGTACCTTCAACCCAGCGCAGAGCACGATAATGGGTACCCGGAAAGCAATGAATTCGTATACGTGAATCTTATGGTAATGGCTTGATATGACGTTTGGATCATATTTAATATGTAACAATTCTACTCAGCAGACTGAAATCCATTTTTGGTGTCATATTGTATGTCGCCTTCGCCTTTTCTCAGAATACGAATCGGGAAGGCGGTTCCCGCGACCGTATTGCTGCTACGGTAATAAACCTGAACTGCATTCACTGGGTTCCTGTCGGGCGCTGTGGATTCTATACTGGCACATATGCGGAGGCAGTCAGCGTCGCCGGCCAACTGGGTATCGTTACGGTCAACATGCGGCGCGTAGACGCTTCTTTGGTTTCTTCATATCACGGCAGCTCAGCGCATCGCGGCACATAGCTGAAAGTCTGGCGGTGCGAGGGTGACGCCCGGGACACCGCGGAGATCTGGCGTGCCCGTTCCCGGCGGCACGGAGATTGTGAAACGCTGCAACACTCCGGTGAGCAGAAGGAATAGCTTCTGTTCGCCTATCCGCATACCGATGCACTGGCGTTTACCTGCGAGAGAGAGATCACACTGTTGATTAGACGCCGCCACGAGTGATACGTATATAGTCAATGACAACAACAACAACAACAACAACAACAACAACAACAACAACAACAACAATAACACCTCAATCGCCACCACCGCCACCACCACCGCCACCGCCGCCTCCAGCACCACCACCACCAATAACAATAACAACATCAACAACAACAACAGCAAAAACAACACAATCAACAACAGAAAAAGTGACGATGACAATGATAACAACAGTAAATAAAAGCAAAATAATGATAATTTCAACAACAACAGCAACAAAGATACACGATAATGATCTACAAAGCTACCAAGCAAACACACAAATAAACAATGCGGTAACAGCAGCTAATTGAAGAAGCGTACATTGTAAATAGTCACACTCTACAGAGTGAGAAACAATATGAACTACAACATTGGGCGCGATTTCGACTGAGGCGCCTAGTGACTCGCCCCTACATTTCGATTTTTTATTTATTATTTAGCTGTGTTGTTTTGTACTGTATGGCTTTGTATTGTATTGCGTTGTGTTGTGTGTGTGTTAGTGTATGTATGTATGTATGTTATGTTGTAATCGTATCGTATGTACTGTATGTATGTTAATGTGATGTTAATGTAATGTATGTAAGTATGTCAGTGTATGTAGTGTATGTCATGTATGTATGATATGTATGTAGTCATGTATGTATGGTATATTATGTATTCATTGTATGTGTGTTGTGTGTTGTGTGTATGTGTGTATGTGTGTTGTGTGTATGTGTGTGTGTGTGATGTGTGTGTGTGTGTGTGTGTGTGTGTGTGTGTTGTGTGGTATGTGTAGTGTAGTGGCGCGTGTGTATATGGGTGGTGCGCGCGCGCAGGGTGTGGTGTGTGTTCGTGTATGACGTGCGTGTCGTGTCGTATCGGTTCGTGTATGCGTGTGGTGGCGCGTGTGCGTGTGTGTATATGTGCGTGTCGTTTCGTTCGTGCGTTTGTAGTACAGTATGTATGTATGTATGATGTAGTTGTATGTATGTTATGTATGTATGTATGTATGTAATGTATGTATGTATGTATGTATGTATGTATGTAATGTAATGTATGATAATGTATAGTATGGGAATGATGTATGTAAAGTAATGTATGTAATGTTAATGTATGTGATTGTATGTATGTTATGTATGTATGTATGTATGTTATGTATGTTATGTATGTTATGTATGTATGTATGTTATGTATGTTATGTATGTGCTGTGGGTGTGTGTGTGTTGTGTGTGTGTGTGTGTGTGTGGATGCGTGTGTGTATAACATCGGTCAGACTTCACACCTACCCAGCGAGAACGGCATGAAGGCGGCCGGCCGATGAAGATTCCCGTTCTCGTCCAGGAAGTTCCTCGGGTTGAACTCGTCCGGATAGCGCCAGTGAGCGGGGTCGCTGAGCACGCCGTGTAGGAAGGGCACGACGTGAGTGCCCGCCGGTATGCGATATCCGTCCACCTGCATCTCCTCGCTCGTAGCGTGCGGAACGCCCAGCGGCAGCACGCTCCGGTAACGCATCACCTGTAACGTACCGGACATAGCCGAGGTCAGCCGACTGTTGGCAGCGCCACGCTCGGCCTGTATCGGAGGGGATTGGCATCCCTTTTTACTATCGATTAAGTGCTCGCGATTGATTTTCGTAAATTGCAGAGCCGTATGCACGGGTTGAGGGGCTATTGGGGCTGCCACAGACCTATAAAGATTATTACATGTATAATCGCGAACTACCTACAGTCAACCGCCAAGAATACAAACTTCCTCTGGCTTTTCCCCAAGGAAATGAATTACTCAATTTAGCATGAATTAGCTATGACTCTAAATTGTGATGGATTTCTAGTTTAACAGATTCTTGATCGCCATTGATTCGCGAATGGTTTTAGTTTCGTAATGTCATGTTGATTTAGATTCTATATAATTTTGTTTCGTCAATTGGCATAATTACATCGTTTAATTCGCTAGTAAGTGGCAGGATTGCAGAATCGTGTGAGAATTCAAGAATAATTTCGATTTCCCAATGGTTCCGGACAGTAAAATGGCGTCGTAAGCAGCACTTACTTCCCACACGGTGGCAGCAGTGTACGGCATAGAGGCCATGTCTTCGACGCGCGGGGCCCTGGCCTCGCCGACCGTCTGGTGTATCTCACCCTGCACGTCGGTCTGTACGTCGGCATGCAGCGCGAGCAGCAGCAGACCCCAGACGACGGAGTGTGCCGACGTGATGATACCCGACGCCAGCAAGTCGCCGATCAAGTAACGAATCTGTGTTTCTGAAATTGACGGTGGCGACACCGTGCGTTAATTAGCCATTTCTCTACTTCCGTAACACATTGCAGGCACATCATTGGCAGAATATGAATATTGTATTATATTTACAAGATTTATTTGGCGTCTAAATCTCATCAGACGAGGTTCCATTGATGAACACCAAAGACCATTTTAAAGAACTACGAAGAAATTCTGAGATTTGCGATATATATTGTAGTCTCGCAATTTCTATTCTTCTCGGCTGTACGTTACTACGCGACTTAACTTAATACCGTAACAAATAGGTTCCTCTCGCGCGAAGATGCTTACCGGAGAAATGGTCGTCCTCTTTTCCCGACGTCCTGCGCCTGTGCTCCTCCATGGCGCATGCGTCGATGAAGTCACGTGGCTGCTCGCCGTCGGTCAGCACCGTCCCGTGGTCGCACACGTGGTCGGCGATGAACGCATGCGCAGCTCGTCGATTCTCGCTGAGCGTCTGCAGCGAGCGACGCATCAGCGGCAGGCGGGCCAACATCGGAAAGCAGTTGAGCGCCGCCAGGTGCGCGCTCATCCTGTATCCGGCGCGGAGGTCGCGCACGTAGCGGCGGAAATCGGCGTCGTCGTGCGCGAAGCGAGCGCCGAACAAGATGGCGAACATGACGTTCGACATGCAGCCGTAGACGGCGTCCGGCGCGAACGGCCTACCGTCGGTGACCGCGATGACCTTGACGAGATGCGCGACTTCGGCTGCGATACGAGATTCGATGTTCGGCGCGGCGGACTCCAGCTGGCGGAGAGCGCAGACGACAAACTTACGGTACTCTCTCCATCGGGCGCCGTTCGACGTGGAGAGGCCGCCTGCGAGGCAAGAAGACGGTAGTGCGTCATTCGAGGTGGCCGTTCGATGGCGAAACATAGTCAAAGTCATAATAGAGAGGAATGGGGGTTTAGGGTTGGGGTTAGAGTTAAGGTTAGAATTATGGGTAGAGATATGGTTAGGGTAATTAGGGCTGGTGTCAGGGTTAGGGCCAGGGATAGGGTTGGGGTTAGAGTTATGGTTAAGGATATGATTGCGGGTGGTTATAAGGTTATGGCTAGAGTTAGCGATAGAGTTAGGGATAAGGTGGGGGTTGGGGCTAGGGTTATTGTGTTATGGTGATGGTTAGAGTTAGGATTAGGAATTGGGTTAGACTTGGGGTTACAGTTATGATATAAATGTGCAGAATTTCACATTGTACTGAGTGGGTCTGCTGGCGTACTCATCTACGTCTATGCTCTGCTTTCGCTTCCACCCCGATAAAGACATGAACAGAAGATGAACGTTCTTTCATCGGATGCTTCGCAAAACAAAACGTAGGTTGATTTTTCGCGACTTCGCAAGATGTATCGAAAGCCCCCACCAATACTATACTTAAGTGGAAATTATTAGGCGATTAAAAACATGGCAGTAACTATTCTGGCCGCAATCCAGAAAGTTTTTTTTTTAACTCGTCAATAAGGAACTGAAGAACTGAGGAACTGAACAATAAGTTCGCCCGCACCTTCTAATATTTACCTTCCATTTTCATTTAGTTGCATATTCCTATTACAGTTGCCATGTTTTCTTGTACGATAATTTCGCATTACATAGTTACGAGTTTATGCGCGGCGCACACGTGAGTTATTTTACTCAAGTAAAATGACGCATGAGTCATTTTACTCACGTGTGCGGCGCATTTTCGTTGAGTAATTTGACGCATGCGTCATTTTACTTGAGTAAAATAACTCACGTGTGCGCCGGGCATTAGATTGTTAAGAAGCGTCAACGCATGCGCGCAAACCCATACATTTCCTAACAGATCATTCATCTGAAACGCTGTTATTGTCGCTCGTTGTTTCGTTCACGGTACGGCTCTGTTTCAACGATGCATGCCAAATTCCATCGAAATTTTAAAACACGTAATTCCACAGCATGCCCCATTGCTCGCGAAAACGGTATGTGTGCGCTCTACACTTTATTAGGCAAACACAACGCACGCGGCTGCACTGCCGCTGTGGCTCGCGAGTATTTGAATGAGCTTTGTTAGTTATTTAGGCTAAAAATTGTGGGTCATCCATTGTAGGCTAGCGTGACAAGGCCGCGTGTGTCTGTGTATGGCGGACGGGGTACGTGACGCCTGCGCGTATAGCGCGCGCCTCCGCAGACGATAATTATGCCCTCTACGTCAACAGTGCCATCGTTACAACAAGCGCAAAACTTTCACTACCGTAGTGTACATTGCTTCGGGCAAACACCCTTCGCGCATTTTACGTACTTGTTTATTTACTCTAACCTCGGAATATGGCCGTGAAGTTTTGCGAGTGAGGCGCATCGCTGTATTGACTGCTAGTAATCGGCCATCACGTAACTTGACGACGTTGGTACTTCTACATCAGCGTGCAAAAGACGTCTAGTTCAAACCAATTATAATTAAAATTAATTACTTGGAAATATATTCCAAGATATGAATCCACTGTTCCCACGAGAATGAGGCATTTCGTTACCTGGTTACTGCGCTTAGGATATGCAGTATAGGTAGGTAGCTTATACAATGATTATACAGTAATCGCTTCAATGGCGGAAGATCGATGACATTGGACCGCAGACTATACGTGCTCGACAGACCGGCAAGAGTAGTTCTTTTATTTGAATTGACCTTGAGTGATGGAAATGCTGATATTCAACGCCACGCCGGACTATCGACGCGAATTTAGGTCGAGGGCGATTAAGAACAGCGTTTTACGCGGAACTCAAAAGTTGAAATCGTGACCTTGGCGTAATTTCCCCGGACAGATATCAGCCTGCACGCTGCTGGGTCTTGTGTCGCAGAGTCGTAGAAATTACAGAGGTGGTATCGGAGCAAATGTGTTCACAGAACCTTTACGCTTTAAAGAAACGACATTATAGGGACATTTGGTTACGTCGAGAAGTGCTACTTAACCACAAAACAGTTACGGCTTTAACGACTGCGATAGTTTCCCACTCACAGGCACTAGCTGAGCTGTCATTATTATGTCAATTGTTGGAAGCAGGAAGTGCACTATTTTTTATTCTTTGAAACATTATTCTCTCGACTGACATGGGATCACTATTTCATCTCCGTGAGTTCTCCTCGCACGATTGCCTGCAATCGTTCGCCGGTAAATATTTATTTTCTGAAAGCCCTGTCGAGCACGCCGTGCGGTACGGTCGAGCCTTCACTGTCTGCACGCGGACAGTAAAGGGTGAAAGAACATTGGACCCACGTCTCCACAGTGACCCACATCCGCGCGTCTGAACGGAGATTGCGTGCGTGAAATATACGTACATACGCGCCTGTACGCCGCCTTCGTTTTCATGTCACCGACAAATACTTTCTCGTCGAACAGAAATACGAGTGTATGCGTTTTCTTGTGGGATAGGTGACTGCATACTTTAAGTATATTTTACAGCATTCGGACCTGATCATCGGGGCTTCTGGGTTTTACGAGATACCCCGAAAGCAAGCGTTAGAGCCGATTTCACTTTTTTAAAAGCGCAAGAGAGTTTAATATGAATTTGTTTTAGTTTACCTAAGCGCGAGAGAAACGTACATGTGCCTCGGATAACAATAGATTTCGGGGTATATAATATCATAAGTGTATAATATAGATATAATAGAGTATAATATATCTCTAGGCCTATATCATACACTCCTGATGCTATGTGTCCAATAGCGGTAACTTATACTATGCCTAAAGCGTTTGCATTGTCTTGCAGTGTGTCACACTACTCCGGATGTACTGTCATCCCTAGCTATTTGAAAGTCTCTACAGTGGATTATAGGCAACATAAAACCAAACGTCAGCCTCAGCTAGGCCATTCACCAAATCCTAGTCGTAATATATTGACTCGATACACACGTCGTTACATCAACGTGCGTTTGCAAATACAATATATACTTACCCCGCGCTTCGTGACCATACGGCAAACAGAGCATAAAAGTTTAAACAGACACCTTTCTCTTTCGTTGCGGAGTTCCCCGAAAATGGCCTTTACAAATAAGGCGTGATAAACCGTGACACAATTTTCAAACCGCGCCAGACGTGTGCTGGCGAATTGGGTCAGAGTGGGCTTAATATATTTCGTGCTCCTTTAAAGGTGATCGTGGTCGACTTTCACTATTGCTAGTGGCGATAAATTGTTGCCAGGTAGGCTCGTTTAAACTCGCTTCCCCCGCTCTAGTCCCTTGTCTTTTTAATATATAAATCTAGCAAAAACACATCAAATACAGTTCTACATATTTCGCACCATGTATCGTTATTAGAATGTGTTCGCAACAATTTATACAATACACACTGCACGTGGAACTGCTCTTTGGTATTCAGGGCCGTAGGCTGAGCAAATTCCTAGGGGGAGGGCAGTGGCGGATCCAAGGAGGGGGTGAGAAACAGGTGGGGGTCTGGGGGTTCTCCCACAGAACATTTTGAAAATGTAGATCGCAGGAGATGGTATTTGAGGCACTTTTGAGTACATGTACAGCCTTCATTCTGACTACGACAATTCTCTTTTAGTAAAACAATTTTTTTTTGCTCTAAAATCTAGGGGGGCAGCTGCCCCCCTTGCCCCCCGCAGGCTACGGCCCTAGTATTGACTTTACTAAAGATGCCTATATCGCGTATGATACCATGAGAGGGTGATATATAAGTAAACCGTACTGTTGGGTTCAGAGTTAGCTATTAACAAATGTCGATAACAAATTAACTGCATGATTCCCTGTATAACTTCTTCCCATGTCATATGGCATACAGGGCGGTTGCTAGCAGGTGGGGGAGCAGATTCCTTTCATAGGATGATACTTGATACCAAAAATGATACTTGGCGAATGGCGACTGCTATACTAAGAATACAGATCGCACGTGGTTTTGCCCTCGAGAAAACCGAGTTAGCTATAGTAACTACGCCCCCTACTTCTTTCTTTTTTTCTTCTTCTGCTACTACTACTACTACTACTACTACTACTACTACTACTACTACTACTACTACTACTACTACTACTACTACTACTACTACTATTACTACTACTACTACTACAACTACTACTACTACTACTACTACTAATGATGATGATGATGTAAATAATAATAATTATTATTATTTTACTGCAACAAGAACGACAGCGGCAGCAGCTGTAGACGCAACAACGATTACAATCACAAGAATAGAAATGCTTTTTTTTATCATTGAGACTAATACCTAATAAAAAATATAATATATTTTCTATGCGACTTTACTGGGGTACTGTTAATTGCGGCGGCGGTGGTGGCGGCAGTGGCGGCAGTGGCGGCAGTGGCGGCGGCAGCAGCAGCAGCAGCGGCGGCGGCTGCGGCAGCGACGGTGGTGGTTATGGTGGTTATGGTGGTGGCGGTGGCGGTGGTGGTGGTTGCTATTGATGTGGTAGTAGTGTGGTTGTGGATGTGGTTGTGGTTGTGGTTGTGGTTGTTATGGTGGTGGTGGTGGTGGTGGTGGTGTTGGTGGTGGTGGCGGCGGCGGCGGCGGCGGCGGCGGTGGCGGTAGTGGTGATAATGCTGGTGGTGGTGGTTGTGCATGTGGTGATCGTACTTGTATTGGTTGTGTTTGTGATGGTCGTGTTTGTGGTGGTCGGGTTTGTGGTGGTCGTGTTTGTGGTGGTTGTGTTTATGGTGGTCGTGTTTGTGGTGGTTGTGTTTGTGGTGGTCGTGTTTGTGGTGGTTGTGTTTATGGTGGTTGTGGTGAGGGCGCCGGCGTCGCCAGCGATGGTTGCGGTTGGTCATAACGGTGGACAGTGCAATACGTGTCGTAACGGGGTGGACAGTGCAATACGTGTCGTAACGGGGTGGACAGTGCAATACGTGTCGTAACGGGCGTTTCTAATGGCAATCGTTGACTCACCGTCGCCTTCCAGCACCTCGGTCTGCAGCACGAGCTGTGGTCGGCTGTCGCAGTGCGGCCGCGTGAACGTATCGCGGATGAGTGCGGGGTCATTGAGCACTACTATCGTCTGTCGGCCGAGTTTGATTTGAAATATCCTGCCGTGTTTTGCTGCCCAGCGCCGCATAGAGCTGTGCGGGTACCGACCAAGACCTGCGAGCAATAGCGACACGCCACGTAACGTAAAAATAGCGCCGATGCAACTCAAGGCTTCAGCTATAGTAGATTCTGACAGATGTTTTTGAAGTACTAGTAGAATATAAATATATCTATTATATATTCAAGCGTGACTGGGTTATTTTGACATTTAAAAGCTCAATATAATGTCCTTTAGCCGGTCGATCGTGCTGTGTTGCCAGCCGGGATGGGCAAGCTAGAGTTAAATATCGCATACCTGGTAAATTTCCTAGCAGCGGCCATCCCCTCGGTCCGGGCAGAGTCGACTTTGGCTTTCTTCGTGATAGCCATGTTGTTAACAATGCCACACATAAGATCGCCAGTATATAGTCCAGGCGCGGGCACTGAAACCACCACGCAGCTAGAGGCGGACCACTGGTCATAACGCCGTGGCACGGACATGGAGCGAGCTGACCGTTGCTGACCGCCGAAGAGCTGGTAGAATACGATGACGACTACAACGGCGACGACTGCGATGCCGCTGATAACGTGACGACGGGCAGAAGAAAGTTGCGGCTGCCTATGTTAAGCGAAACGTAGAAGTTGCATGTCGTTCTTATTGGTCCTCAGATGCTATACGGTTGTATAGCGCAGTTCTTTTATCGTTCTACGGCACTGCGTTAACTTTTGGTGCGACTCCGAAATCGATAACCGTTATCAATAAATCGTAATTTGAATTGAAATTGAATCAGCCTTCCCAGTTTGTATCGTTGGAGATTGTATGCTAAAAATTAGACAATTGGAGGCGGTGATGCGGTTGAGGACGGTTGTTGTAGATAGCGATCCCTGCGTGAGTGGTGAGTGAATAGGAACTATCTAAACTTTGCCTCGACTCTCTTATAGTCAGTCGCGCACGAAAACTAGGCTAACCTTGAGTGAATGCCTCGCGGAGGGCGGGGATACAGCGGCGACGTCGGATTATGCGTGATGCGCGGCGGACCTTTAACAAATCTTTGCGATTAAAAATGCCGCCTCCCCCTCGCCGCCGTCTCCCGTATAAGGGCTGCACGACAGTTTCGGCCAATCGCGATCGCCCGTCGACATAGACTTCCGCTCGCTCCACCCCCACTCACACGCGAGACACCGCGAAATACGCAACCGAATCACGACAAGTGGCAGTCTATGGCTGGCGCGTACATCGAGGGCCGTGGTCACATTCCGGTGCGTAATGTAGGGCACTACGGTTTTACGGCCCGTAATGCCTGAAGCACGAGCGGACATGCGCGCCGCAGACAATGGCTGGCTTTGTGGCCCGGACCGGCGTTCTTTACTACACGGTTACGTGTGTGCTCAACCTAGTTAGGAGATCTCCTGGAGGCTGCGATAACAATGGGGAAAGTTCGAACCTCTGCATCAATACCGACGGTCGACGCGTGGACATATCCCATATGCTCATCTTGATATGCTGTTTCTCGATGTTCGTAATTTTCGCGGGCGCCATGTCCGGACTCCGATGTAGTACGCCCATGAAGTAGATCTCGATCGCAATTAATATGAACGAACCAACGCCGCAATTACACACGCGCATTCGCATATAGCGAACACTTGACGTGTAGGTACACGACTCGCAACGATATACGAATGCGAACGACACGGTACGACACGACGCGACACGATACACGACTCGATACTGAATAAAAAAATACGACACGGTACACGACTCGATACAGAACAAAAAGATACGACACGGTACACGACTCGATACAGAACAAAAAAAGATACGACACGTAACCGGGTAGCACGACACGGAACGGTAACACACGATACGGCACGGTACGGCACGGTACAGAACAGCCGTTTCAATAGAATTAAATAGGATAGGATAAGAAATCGTTCTTTGCTTATATGTAATTATCTGTGTGTATATGTGAGTGATTTGTGCTAAAACAGCGTGCGATATGAACTGCATGGTTGCGCCATCTCTTCACCGCGCAATCTATTGCGAAACATCGAGACAGGAAGACATTGGGAACATTGGCGGGGTAAACCGATAGCTCGTCGCACAACAAAAACCCAGCAAAAAGGTCGGTTCAGTTCTGAACTGTCTCGGAGGTCGAAGTGTGAATTTTTGTTCGATACGCGTTAACTTCGCGTTGTGCCGTAGCGTGTTATGACGTGTCGTGTCGTGTCGTGTCGTGTCGTGTCGTGTCGTGTCGTAGTGTGACGTGCGTACTGTGTGTGCATGCACTAGATACGCAGCCTTGGATACGCATGACACGTGCAAGAGCCCGCGTCCGCACATGACCGTGTCTGCATGACGTGCCGCCTAGCTCCTCGCCGGTGAGTCACGCCATGCGTGCACGACATCCGCATGCATGCTCTATTCCGCCATGCAGGCTTTTTTTTCGCGGTGCTTACATAATCTGATTCAAGGATACGGCGCCGTTGAGCGTTCCACTGCACGCGATTGGGGGAAACCAGTAGTTGAAATGTGGGCAAGCAATACATAAACATCTCCAAAGGAAGTGTGTGTGTGTATAAGGAATGAATCAACAGGTGAGATACATGTAAGGAAAAATGAATGGAACAAATAACAGATATAACGTGCAGATGTAAAACCGGAAGCTTACTTTCATTACTGAAATTGCTTGCCTTTATTTAATTTTAAACCGGAAAATACAGAGGTATGTTATAGAAACAGTACGAATGAACGATTCTCAAGATACTAGGATTTGTACCACTACTACAGGGTGTTTTTATCGATACCAATTATGCAGATGTCACTGCAATCACGAGGGTCAACTATAGTAACAGATCGACACCAACTATTTATGTGTGTACATTATGTTACGTGTAGCATTAATAATTTTATAATTTTATAGAAACTGTAATATACGAACACGCGCGTCTCAGCGTTAAGACCATCAGCATATTTCATTACTGTCACATGGACAGCATCGACGCGACCTAACGTAAAGCGAATGCACCAGTGGCGAAATTACACCGACATAGTCCCGGCGGCGTTGAATGGGCGGATAACGGTAACCCTTTACCCCGGTGACCTGCAGCTAAGACGACAGCGCATCGTCGTCGACGTAACACTTGCGTCACCGACTTCGCGTATTACGCGTGCGTTACGTAACGCGTCTGCAGCCGCAAGGGTCACGAGAGTTGTGCGACGCTGTTTAGCTGCGTTCTGCTGCAGATAGTGTCACACCAATCCACGTGAATAACCAGAGCCTGTGCGCCCGCGCCGGCCTGGCTACGCTGGCGTGTGCGTCACGAGGCTATGCAGGTATGTAGGGTGTGACACACGGCGAGAGATTACACTACAGAAAGATACGAGACACTGTATAAGAAGGATGAAAATAAGGTGTAAACAGACGGGTAACGAGAAGAGCGAACGCTCACTAACGCTAAAGGGGTCGTTGTCGTATAGGGTACTAATATAGTGCTAGTCTAGGGAGTCGCCTACGCCTACTCCCTAACCCTAACCATATCAGATAGTTAACTCGGGTACATATATGTAGTACCCTATACGACAACGACCCTTCGTGCCTCACTAACCCCTCTGGTACGCCTCTGTGTGTGCACATTGTAGGGATACAGAAGTCCGTTACGAGACCCGAGACTTACTTGGGATTATTGCAAACTCAGGAAAATAACTAGAATTGAGATTGCGAAGAAAGGCGCCACGAACTCTATTCGCAGGAGGAAGAAACATCAATACGCTGATGAGACGAGCGTGAAATGGTTCTCAGAGACACAGAAATCCAAACGAAAAATCCGGCGTCTTTTTTACACGATATAGAATTAGTTACGTAGCAAAAAGCTAACAACATCGCCCACGACAGCGCGAGAAGCATTATACCGGACAAAACCTGTTACTGTAGCGAAGCAACGCAGTGTAGGATTGCTCATGCTCCACGAATAAAAACAAATTGGTAACAAAAGTGAGTAGTAACGAATGCCGTCCGAAAGGCGGCTGTGCTAACGAGTCGCTGGGGATGTTCAGGACGTTGCATTCGGAAGGCTACAGGTGTGTGAATCACGCCAAGTTTAGAATTTGTTTCAATGCCGACCATTGTGATAGTGACTGCTGGTGCAGGCCTTCTGTGGTTTAATTGCTGCGTGAAACACCCATTGCTTAATGTGAACGAAGATTTTAAGACGTTTAATTTTTTAAATTAATAATAACCATTGAGAATAATTAAAATTGACAATTTTTTAAATTTCGGAATTTGTAAATCAAAAATTAAGAATAACAACGTAATTAGACTGCGTTTACGCAGGAACGCATAATTACAGTTATTTCATTATGATGATTGTCTATAATACCCCCGTCACACCGGGGTGGCGTCCTTACTGCGCTGCTACAGCGACGGAAAATGGGCCCAGAGCGCGCCAAGGTCGCCATAAGCGTGGTATAAGCGTGGTGGAAACGCCAGACATCGTGGTGTGGTCGCCATGGTCGCCAATGATCGCCGAGTCACGGCGTTTGTTTTGAGCATGTTCAAAACAAACGCCAAGGTTCGGCGATCTGACCTGGAACGCGGTGAGAACGCGGTGGGGTCACGAAGGTCGTGAGACAAGCGTCGTAACATCTCCATAAACGTAGTACACGCGCAGTACACGCGTGGCAAAAACGCGTGCACAAAATTTCCGAAAATCTGACCAGCTTATATAGTCGCCGTGAGAACGTGGTAGAAACGCCGTGAGGTCGCCGTGCAGTCGCGATACACGTAGAAGACGCGTGGTAAGAACCCCATGAGCGTGGTGAGAGCGCCGCGGGAACGCCGGTGATCGCCGTTGCCAAGCCCATAGATCTCAATAGAAACGCCATAAGCGCGGAGAGGTCGTGGCGGGCGCGCCGTGAGAACGCGGTATGATCGCACAGGTCGCGGTAAGAGCGCGGTTTTTTTTCAAGTTTGTAATTTGTTGGGACTTTTTCTCGCGTTGTGTTCGCGTTTGCCGGCGACCTTGCACATTTTCTGGTCGCCGTCCGGTGTGACGGGGGTATAAATTTGTTTAGATTAGCGGTCATGCTGGTGTTGAAAACTTACGAAGTACGAGTAAAAAAGTCGAAGTAAAAAAGCCGACACGCACAAGGAACAGAAAACACACAACACGCTACCCGTTTTTCAAGTCACATTTATTAACCGTAATAAAAATAATAAATAGACTTAGACTTATAGTTTTAAAATATCGATCCACATTTCATGTGTAAAGCTTCGACCAGTGGCGCTTCCGAACAACGGCTGATACGTCGTTGATGACATTACACCGCAAAGTTCCTCAACAACAAAGACGTTAATATAATAAAACGACACTTAGAAAAAATGTATGGACACGATACAGATAAAAATGCCAACACGGAAGCACTGACACTTATGAATCATAATTAGGCAACCACCAATCCGCCGCCACATAGATTTAAACGCGGAAATGTCTCGAATCTCGGAGAATGATATAACTAAGAAGAATACTAAAAATCAAAAGCCATATCAAGGCACACATCAACACTTAGTCGCTATCACATCATGTGGCATTTGCAAACATCATGTAAATATCACGAGCAGTTAGAAACCGACTGCCGCCGTACGGTAGAGCGAACTGTTCCAACTTTATTCAACAACGCCATCTGGTGGGAAGAGCAACGGCAATGAATTTCTCCAATGCCACTCATATTCGGGTTCGCACACTAAAAACAGTGCACATTTTCGCCAGTCACAGGCAGAAAAGAACGGCTACGAGACTTCAACACAAATAACCGCGTGAGCGTTACCCGCTCCCGCCCGACTTTAACATGCATGGAAGATCGCAGTACCAGTCTAGATATGGGGATAGAGAGGATCGTGATCCATCATGACAAGAACGTGCGTGCGTGGTATTCTGTATAGCATACACGGCAACGAATTGCGCACGGACATGGCAGAGTCTACACGGACTGACACAGCAGCTTGCCGGTGTCGCGCATGCTAACTCTGCCAAATTACAGGTAGCATCAGCATTCACACACGCTCCCTGGTCAGTTCGACAAGGGGATGTACAAATTCAAATAACAGCACCATCATTAGTGTGCTATATAGTTAATATCGGAAGATATCTGTCAGCTGCATACATTAAGTCGTCGTTATCGTTCGCGTCTGAATCCACTACAATTAATGCAAGAATAAGGTACTAATTCCTAATCTCTCTAAGGTACTAATCTCAGGAGATGCCACTACCATTTCAGTGATCGAACCTGAAACCAATCATTGATGCTAGTATTTGGCAGACACGACGCACACAGACAACAACACAAACATGTACTCATACACACTCTAGACGAACGTGCGCGGTACGGGCAGCAGCAGCAACACAGACCGCAGGGCTTGCACACAACCACAAACCTAGTTTTCGCAGGAAACCACCAATCATGATAACACGTTTCATCCATACGGTGGCGCCTTATTGCCGCTATCGGCTGCACTCTGCTCACGTTCTCTCACGCCACTTCGCTGAACTGAACAAGTGATGTACAAAATCAGCTCTCTTCTCTCGTTCTTTCGCGTTTGACTGACACCGAATTCGCATATTTGACTGGTTGACTAGAAGTCGAATAACACTCGGAGAGGTGTCGACAAGCGAAGAACAAAGTTGTACACATCCACATGCAAAAGGCACAACAGCTAAATTGGGTACTAATATAACGTTTTCGTTCAAAATAAATTTTTTCCCGCCTTAGAGCAAAGAATGCTGATATAAGTTAACCCACGCAAGACGAGGAAGAGGAGCGTCGAGGTGGGACAGAAATACTTAGAAAGATTATACAGCTTAGGGTCGACATAAGTTTACAACAGCTGGATCAAGCTGTTTGCACTTTTCTTCAATTTTCGCTAATACTTTTAAGATTATACATATACACTTATTTTTACACTAGCCTACCGGATACACGTTAAATGGCAATGTGTATGGAAGTGCATAAAAAGTGTTTGGCAATAATTACAATATTGTACACACAAAATCGTACCTATGAGAAATTAGAAAAATGGCAAGGTTACTCTATAACAGTATACATATTTTGTGGCTTATTTTCTGTCATTTCAGTCATTAATTAATCAATTAACTAATTGACTTTCAACGCATCTGATATACATACACTACAGACTTGCATTTAGAGAATGAATGACAACATACCGAAATTCTCAAGTTTATCTTATTTACCCAGAAGGTGGCAGTACGGCAGTTGAACTGGATTCGCAGCGAATATTTCAACATATTCGAATTTTATTGCAATACGCTGAACTGTTACAGGGGCGTATCCAGGGGTGATTCCAGGCATTCCGGAATCCCCCCTGGTTTGTATCAAAATAGCACATATCTGATACAGGGAGATATTACAGAGATTTTAACGAAGTTTCATTAGTATATAGTAGGTTTGGAATCCCCCCTCTTGGAACGAATCCCCCTGGCTGGCTACCCCGTGTTACATTTATATATTAATGCCTGCTGTTGGGGGCACTATGCTCTCATAGTGTTGCTGAGGGAAGGAATAGTGCCCTCGCTACCGCTCGGGCACTATTCCTTCCCTCAGCAACACTATGAGAGCATAGTGCCCCCAACAGCAGGCATTAATATATAATTAGTGCATGACGTGATAAATCGCTGCAATCTCATTGGATAACGCAGCAGGCACTATGAAGCGATAGTGCCCGCCTGAGCGGGCACTATCGCTTGCGCGACGCATTGTTATTATAACGCATTGTGTTTACGTCACGAATCTCCTGCGTCTGGGCGCCACGCAAGAGTAATTTCGAACGGCGGTTGTGTTTGTGTCGAACGTTTTGTTACATCGAATGCACCGGCAAATTAGGGAGTATAAAGAAGGTATATACGCATGAAAAGTAGATTGCATAGTCATGGCAGTCATGTGATGCACTAAAAACATTAATGCCTGCTGTTGGGGGCACTATGCTCTCATAGTGTTGCTTTGGGAAGGAATAGTGCCTGCTTCATAGTGCCTGCTGCGTTATCCAATGAGATTGCAGCGATTTATCACGTCATGCACTAATGCCAGTTATTATGCAGCCGTACAGAACATTACAGCAGCATAACCCCCACCCCCCGTGAACCAACTGATACATGATTCGATGGATAATGTCCGTAATTAAAATCGAATTCTGATTTACATTTAAAAACATATAAAGTGAAACACGAAAATATTACACGGTCACAGATAATACCTAGTGGTGATAATTATCGCTTAGAGGCTACGGCCAACAACACGTAGTTTGCCTATATCGCATTCCAACATGAACTATACAGAGAACATCCACTTTAACTTATTTTATGATTGATCGGAGATTGCATGGCATTCATAACCACAGAGCAAGAGAACAATTAAGAGATAAATAATTATTATTATATTAGAGCAAGAGAACAATTAAGAGATGATCAGTGACCGTCTGCCATAATTGCAAATGGTCACGTTTACACTAGGTCTCACCAGTGCGAGCTAACATAATGATAATACTGAATCTTGCGAAATTCGTTCTACAAGTTCGTTCTATTTGTTTAACGCCGCATATGCATCTAGAACAATAGAAAGCACCACGGAAACCGTATTCTGTCTAACACTTATCAAAAATGCGGATCAATAGAGACTAGCGCTGTGAGGACACGAAATAATACAATTGATTACATTCTTGTAATTTAAAAAAGCGAGACGTTTTGCCGTTTGAATGCAACTAAATGCGGAAACCCTAGTTTTATTGGTTTCAGTTGCTAAATGCCATTTTCTAAAACAATACCTCACGTCTTAATCCTACCTCGTGTTTCACAGCGCATACAGCCGCAAGCGACCCTCGTGGCGCATTTCAGGCAACGTTTGCGACATGTAGCGATAAATAATACGTTTTCGCAATGACCCTCACATGACCTTCTGCCATGCAGGTGATCTCAAGATATCAGGCTTTTACCCAAGATTCAAATCCAGTACGTATATGACAAGTGAACTGTGTATGTAGAAAACTCAACGCATTTGTTCAACGTTATCAACTACGAACACTCATAACTGCGCACTATGTTTTGTATCTCTAATCTGTACACAGATTTAAGCATAAACTTTGAAATTAACAATGGGTACGCAAACGTTTGTATACAAAAGAATAATTCTCTGCAGCGAGCCCAGCACAATGGCTGTCACTCCGACCATAGGTCATAACCAGAAAATCATTCTCTGCATAATTGCTCCTACTTGTAAAAAGGACATTATCCTGACACTTTTTTTTGCAACGAAACAATAAGCAAAACAGGAATTAGATGACCATTTTAAGCTTCATTTAAACTTCATTTCTATTTTTGTTAATTTCTTATACTGATGTCAACGTTCATTTAAAAGCAACTAGTTGCTTGGTAGGTTGCTTGTAAGTAGAACATTTGTTGAAGTTCGATAATACATGCCCTTGTGTTTCGATACTCCCCCCCCCACCACACTCACTTCTGGTGCCTACGATATCACTGAGATACAATACAACCGGGATGGTATATATTATGCTAGTTCCACAGGTTCATCTTTGCAACACCAAACTCTCGGCGTAATTCTGCATCACATCACGACTGCTTCGTGGGCGTACCATCGCTACGTTCGCCCACCTGTGCCCACCTTTTGGCAGCGTACGTCATCGGTCACTCACGATGTGCGAGCTCACTGCAATTCCCTCCCTCGCCCCAAACCCCACCCCCCGTAACCCCATTGCCAACAGAAACCTGAGATGCACGGTCACAACCGGTAACGAGCGCATCCCGACGCAGCCTCCCCAGAATACGGCAGATAACGTCGCTCGCTCTCGTCGTGTGTGAGTGCATGCACGACCGCACGCGTCCTCGCACTGTTCTCGCACTCTGCCTCGGCGCCGCCTCGTGATTGTTGCGTCATCAGGACCACGCGTCGTTGTCTGTGTACGGGTAGCTGAAGTTGTCGTACTTTTCGTCGTGGCAGTCGCACCACGGGTAGTTGCAGCAGGGCTGTAACCATGGCCACCACATCGTGTTGTAGAAGCTGTACTGCGACTCGACCTGTGGGTGGGGTTCTACGCTAGAGTTACAGCTTCAGACGGCTGGCTAGCATGATCTGCACTTCTCAACCACGACACACGCACGCAGCAGTGGACAGCGCGAGATCATTTCACAAGCTAGCACTTCAAGATCGAATTGAGCGCTCGCAAATCCGATTTGACTCGCTCTGTTTACTACACTTCAGCTGAAACTACGATTCATTAACCGTAAAATCTTTCATGGAAAATGCTCGACAAATTTGAACGCCAACATCCAATTTATGAAGGCCGTAGGCACAAAACATAAAACAGCATCAGTTAGTGTAACAACACATAACTTTACGTCTGTCTATCTTGACAATAATAAATTAGTTTTCTGCTTCCAATTTCCACCTTTTCGTAGTAATTTTTGGTCGGCATGCGAGATAAAAGCAAAGCCAAACACATATACTGAGCTGCTGGATTATTGTTATCACTCGATTACGGGTCGGAATCAATTGCTCATTGAATGATATCAATAAACCAGCCAAGAACACCTGTGTGTGCTACCACGCGAATCTAAGGAAATTTATATCCCATAAGATCGGAACTGCCCTTCCCCTTTTATATCCCATATGATCGGAACTCCCCCTCCCCTTTTATATCCCATATGATCGGAACTTCCCTCATCCCATTTATATCCCATATGATCGGAACTCCCCCTCCCCTTTTATATCCCATATGATCGGAACTTCCCTCTCCCCTTTTATATCCCATATGATCGGAACTCCCCCTCCCCATTTATATCCCATATGATCGGAACTCCCCCCTCCTCATTTATATCCCATATGATCGGAACTCCCCCCTCCCCATTTATATCCCATATGATCGGAACTCCCCCTCCTCATTTATATCCCATATGATCGGAACTCCCCCCTCCCCATTTATATCCCATATGATCGGAACTCCCCCCTTCCCCGTAATGTGTAACTCGAGCTGTGTAAAGCCTGGTGCCGGGTGCACACGTGAGTAACTTTACTCAAGTAAAATGATGCATGCGTCAAAATACTCACGTGTGCGGCGGATTTTCGTTGAGTATTTTGACGCATGCATCATTTTACTTGAGTAAAATTACTCACGTGTGCGCCGGGCTTAAAGCAGATCATCGGACGTGCCATGGACACTTACCTCGACCAACGACTGCTTGTGAGCAAGTTTCGCCTCGTCGATGTGCCGCAGGATCGCCTCGTACTTCGCGTCCGAGCTGACGTTGACGACAGTGGTCTCGGCCGGGTCGCTGACGAGATCAAACATGAGCGGCGGGTCGTGCCACTGGATCCACGTGCTGCCGTAGCACGGGCACACGAAGTCGCAGCCTTGTGTGCCCGCCCGCCACTTGGGCGTCGCGAAGTGCACCTTCCAGACGGCGTTCTCTGCAAGATGAGCACACAGCATTAAACAGAACACTGGGGAAACAGCGAGATATGCACAGCATTGGAGGGGAGAACAGCATTTTCTGCAAGATGTGCACACGTCATTAAACGGAACACTGCGGGAACTGCGAGATGTGCACAGCATTAAACGGAACACTGCGGGAACTGCGAGAAGCGCACAGCATTAAACGGAACACTGCGGGAACTGCGAGATGTGCACAGCATTAAACGGAACACTGTGGGAACTGCGAGATGTGCACAGCATTAAACGGAACACTGTGGGAACTGCGAGATGTGCACAGCATTAAACGAGACCATGCGGAAACTGCGACAATCGTACAGCATTAAACGGAACACTGCGGGAACTACGAGAAGCGCACAGCATTAAACGGAACACTGCGGAAACTGCGACAATCGTACAGCATTAAACGGAACACTGCGGGAACTACGAGAAGCGCACAGCATTAAACGGAAAACTGCGGGAACTGCGAGATGTGTGCACAGCATTAAACGGAACACTGCGGGAACTGCGACAAGGGCATGGCATTGGAGGTGGGAACGGCGTTATCTGTATGAAAAGCGAGACATTAGGAGAAGGTAAGATAAGGGCAAGTGGCCTCAGCACCTAGCTTGCCTGGCCTACTGTGGCCACACTGCAGATTTGGCTTACAAACATTTTGTGAAGCACTTCATTCTAACCCATCGTCCTTAGTAACAGCATTCCATGCATACTAGCCTAATTAGATTATTCTATTATGGACTCTTGATATTATAGTAGGGCGAGGAATTCATTATAGGCAATGATTTATCTAGCATCTACAGTATTATTTTTACACGCGGTCACCTCTTCTCTGCGAATTAGTGTTCTCTCATTTCCTCCTTGCTTCATTAGAACATTATGACTTGCATCTGCAGCATCTGCCTGTACTCGAATTTGCAATGACTCACTTAGCATCTCATTTACCCACACACATCGTATCGGATTCTCTCTTCACAATCAACAACCACATATGACTGGCCATACGCTTCATTTTCGTGTCTACTTGAGGAAGTTTGACTAATGTGGCAGCGCTGATTACCTGAGACACGTCGTAGCCTAATGAGGTCATACCGCAGTTTTTTTTTCTGACAAACATATCTAAACCCATCATCCTTAGTAACAGCACGAACCAATGAACCACCAGCTATAAACACCTTATATATATAT